ACCATCAGTTTCTGGGACCCGGTCCAGTTTTTCTAGTAGAATCATGAGGATAGCTCCTCTCTCAGACGCAATTCGAGACCTGGACATCCCAAGCACAGTGGTACGTACTGATACAGAGTCCATCTTCGATGGCGCACACCTTTTTGCAACGCCCAGCACATCAAAAACTGCTTCATACCGCAGGCCTGTATACTGTGAACATGCCGTTGTGTCCACTGGGAGTGGAGTACTAGCCAATGAAACTCGATGCCCGGATAACAGGCAGGCAAGACCATCAAGATGACTCTCGTAATTAGATGCTACGGCTTCTAGGAAACTGTGAGCTGTACGCGAAGTGAAGTTGAACGCCCTGAGTAGAAACCATATCGGATCTTTGCTTGGGTAAAAGGTAAGCATGACCGCCCGGTTGAGCACATTTTCCACGTACATTCGCCCACGGTTCAGTGAGCTGCTTGCACGATGAGATTCCATGGCCCATCTCTTACCTTTCAATCGGTCGTAAATCGTTTGTCTCTCTACGATATCCTCTAACTTATCCACGCTACCGCGAAAGCGATCATGTGGTACAACTGTAAATCCTCTAGATCTGAATAACCTAGGGTTGTTCACTATCATCGAGGCTATTCTTCCAGAACAACTCTCTCTGTAAAGCACGGCTTCCACCTGCCGTCCATGACTGCTCCTGACACCCTCTTTCAGACGTGCATTGTAAACCGCACGACAACCACGTTCCGATACAACCATCCCTTTTGTGTCGGGCCCTAATTGCCCCGTCTCCGAGAACAAAGGGGTAGAAAAGGTCTCTCTTATGAGTGCCGATAAGACTGATACCCAGCACACGGGACAAGAACGTCAACACTTCACTGGAATTGTAACCTCTGTCTGCCGCTACAATAGCGTCAGTCATAGGTAGCAGGGAACCGGCTGTCGCAGCTCCTTGGAGTAGCTGTATGAGTCGCTGCCAAATATCTAGAAGACGCTCGCCAACCCTCGTGAAATGGCACGCAAAGAAGACTGGGTGCAGTGCTGAGCATAAAGCGTTGCCGACCGGGCCTAGCCCTTTCTTGGGGTTATTATGTTGTTGGAGGCTAGTGAGTGTGGTCACAGCTCTTGATGACATGCGTAAATGGTCGTCATCAAGCGATAAAACAGTAGCTCCTGGAACGTACAGCAACCGACGGTTGCAGGCTGCGACTTCTTGCTCAATCTCCAATATGAGGGCAGTGGGTCGATTGTTAGTCCGGCACCATCCTGTACTTCACTGTCGACAACGGAACGATGCGCCCTCGTACCACTTAATGCAGACCAGACGTCTTTGTAGCGTTGAGCCGAGATTCCCATCTGAAGAACGTGTTCCGCTTCGTCCGGACTGCAACGGTCCGCGGGGACTCATCATAACTGGCACAAAGCCCATGTAAAATGATGAGCCCGAGCAATTCATGAGTACATGTGGGGCGCTTTTGTCGTAGACGAAGGGATTGGTTGGCTACTGCTGCAAGTTTCTATAGCAAACTGTCCGGATGAAACGTTTTGACAGCTTCCAAACGCGTCATCCAAGCCCCGGAACTAATTACCGATGCCTCCGCCACACTATCAGTCTCAACATGTTGTGAGGAGCTTTGCAATTCTACAAGGCGCCGTGTCATCACGTCTTCCTCTACACGCCGCAACATTTCCTCCCCTTCGATTATGAATCGACGGTACAAAACATCGTCAACATCATCCAGTGAAACTTCGACGGCAGCAAACGGTGACACATAATTCCAATTCTCTAAGCCCCCTTCCTGGTCCTGTGCCTGACGATCAGCAGTATCTTCGTTGTTGACGTCAGTTTCAGCATAGGTAGCATCCATTTCACCGTTTACCGCCCCGAATGGGACCCATCGCTCGTCGTCCGCATCGCAGAAAAGACCAGAATGCATATCCTCAGAAACTGCCTGCGCTGGGATCTGTACAGTAGCAGATGACGAGACGAAGGCGGAAAGAGGACGCAGCTGCCTCAGCTCATCATCGTGGACTTGTAGCTCAAGTTCAGAGCTCGAGATAGCATCTGGGGAGGAGTCCATGGCAGTAGGAGAATATGCTTGCAAAAGGTCTTGGTTCTCCTGGCAGAATGGAGCGCCAGAAGCATCCAATGAATCACCGTTATTTAATATTAAAGCAGGGGTGGATGGCACGGCCTGTGCGAGAACGAGAGAATCTCGCGGCGACGCAGTCTCTTGCTCCACAGGAGCAACTTTAGGACTGCACAATTGCTCTGGACATAAAGCCGTTTCCGTTTCATTAATTTCATAGGAGTCTGGCTGTGTTTCCGGATAATGTATGCAGCAGGGACCTCTGAAACGTTTTGTTGGATGGTTGGAAGAGACGGCTCGATGACGTCATTGGACTCGTCCTCAAACAGACTTCTTCTGGTAGCACTATGTAAAATACCGCTGTTTTCAGGGGACATGAGGGGGTCTGAACTCTAAGAAATTTGCTTCGAACGCGAACTGCACGGTGTTGGCTCCGTGGTGTCCACGGACAATTCGCGGAAGGTTTTGGCTCATTCTGGCCTTAACAGAGGCTCGGCGTTCATCGAGCACGAGCAGAGGACAGTGTTCTCGAGTTAAAGGAGATCTGGGCGATAGATAGATGAAAGAGACAATTGGATATCCCTACTATTTTTTCCATTGCGCACTTTAGTGCGCAAATACTTTCAACAGCTATAAATCGCTCGGAATGCAGCCATAGCCCTTCTAGGTTGGAAAATATGTGAGAAACCCCCTGCCAAAACCCCTGCACAGTACCACTTGAAGAACGAAGCCATAATTAATGCTCTAGGGGGAGCGTAAAATGGGTCATTTTGGAAAGCAGATGACCCCAAAAAATCCCCATTGCGCACATGAGTATTTACAATGAGGGTCCATTTTACGAAGGTCCACGCATGTTTATGCTTGTCTTGAGTCCCATTAACGAACAAAAGGGCACTCTAAGACGTTCTGCGTGTTCATCCCGTCATCTTTAACGTCGGACTCCTCGAAAACCACTCGCCGTCCGTTTCGCCGACCTCCATGCCTTCCTTCACTCTCCAGGCTCCCGCCCTCACTCGTGAACCGTCTCCTTAGCCTCAATCCATCAACTACGTCGGCCTTCCGCAACAAAGCCTCCACCACAACCGCGCTGCTGACCTCTCATTCTCCTTTGCACGCCGGAGCGTCTCCCCGCTCACCGCCCGCGCAATGCTGTTCGCAACGACTACTTTGACGAAGACAGGAATTCCAAACCCCCTTCAAAGGACCGCAACGACGAGTGGCTCGCGAACTTCGGCATCGACCTCGAGCTGCTCAAGCTGTCCACCGGCCGCGACAGCGCGCACGAGGCGGAAACCGAGGAGGATAGACACCCTAACATCGTTGCTGCCACCCCGCCGCGCCCGGCTAGCTACACGCCAGAGCGTTGCGTATGCGGACTTCCTCCTGGGCCCGCCCCAAAGAGCGTCTACAGCTAGTTTTGTGCACTCTTATTGCGGTGCTTGACCGTCTATTCTCCGCGACGGAGCTCTTGTAAGTACCTGTGTAGTACTAGCCTTCTGCCGTATGAGACTAATTTGCTCGAATGGCGCTTCTGTCTCCTGCCGCCTTCGAGGGCGATCCCATAGCCGCCCCTTTCATTTTCCTCTTCATTTAAACGTCTCCTTTTCTGTCTCGTGCGGTGATGAACGGTTATTTCTGTGTTTTGCTCCTCAAATGTTCCGGATCCGGGAATTGATGGAGAAATCTCGTTCGTTGCAGTACCACAACCTTGACCCCTGCCGCAACCCCTGCCGCGACCTCGAACGTTCCCTTGCAACCCTCCTCGAACCACCGGTTCTGGTGAGTCTCCAGTGTGATCCGAAGGATGCATTTGTACGTCCTCACTGACTGTTGCCATGTTTCCGAGGCAACGGATCGATACTCTCGCCGCTAGCAGTTGACAGGCAACCAGTTGGCCAATTTTAAATGTTGAAGTTGCGGTGTGATCATATTGGACGGTATATATTAATCATTTAGTTCAAAAGACACACATCGATACAATTTGAAGGCAATCTGAAGTCAAATATCCCCCTATTCTAGCCTCCATTGCGCACTTAAGTGAGCATTGGGGCATTTGCCAAAAATCGTGAAAATACCTATTGCGCACTTAAGTGTGCAATGGTAATAGTAGGGATATGTCACGAACAGGGTGGTAGGCACTCTGCAAGTTTTATCGCCGCCGCGATGAATGTTTTCAGGTATCGATGAAATGCAGTAGACCAAGTTCGGTCGAAAACACCGGCGGTAGTGTCTAGGTGACAAATGACCTCATATGAGGTCACTTTTCAACTTATTTTTCTGGACTTGTGCTAGCTCAACAAGATGGAAAAAGATACTCTCGACATGGCAGTTGACTTCTGCGTTGTGGAAGGGTGGAGTTTGGTGAGATCTGCATGTCTTCTCCAGCCATTTTTAAAATGCCCAAAAAGGAGCCTTTTTTGACCAACCTCAAAACGTTTGATGTTGATATCTTCGAAACCAAAACGCCTGTTTAAAAAGTCAACTCATCATTGATAGTTCATTAGATTCTTAGTCTCTCTGTGCATTGACAACCGCCATCCCAATGTTTTGCAAGATGTTATTGCCGAGCGCGTATACGTTAAAAAAATGGTGTCCAAACTGAATGTTTTAAAGTTTCGATTTAATTTATATATTTTTGCAAAAAAAAAGCTGGCCTCATATGAGGTCAAATTGCTTGTCGTCTAGACAGTAGACAGTACGTGGCACATCTACGATCAGTCTACTGTACTACTTGGCGGAAAATCTCCGAGTGTCGATATGAAGCCACGTTTCGAGCGTGCCTTATCGACATAACGTTACGTCTCGAAGCATGTCAACCAAAAAACCGCACAAACGTAAAGTGCCTAAAATATCGTAACTTTAGGCGCACAGGGCTAGAGCAAGGGAGTGAAAGAGCAGTGACGTGGGTTTTGAATTGAGTCGACAATGCTCTGGATCTTGGTGCATTTTTTGAAATTTCCGATAATTTTATGTCACACTAGCTTGCCTCGAAAAGATGTAGGCAACCAGCACTGGCGGGCGACCTCAATGCATAAAGTCGTCTATACAAACCTCCAATTCACAAAAAGTCGTCTACGACTGCGTTGCTGTCTCTGAGCTCTTCAGCTGACGCTGCTCCAGAAAGTAGGGCGGGCACACCTTAAGCAAAAGTACATAAAACAAGACGACGCCCCAAAACGTGAGGTTACTCAACGCCAGGGCCTTCATCGCGAGATCCCTTATCCCCCCATCGCCTCCTCCCTCAAACGCCGCTCTCACCCAGTTCACAAGCAACCCAAGCCTATATGACACAAAGGCGACCGGAATGCAGATTCGTATGAAGGCGCTGACTGTATTTCGATAGCTCCAAATCTCGAACAGGACCTGGGCCATCATGAGAAACAAATGCGGCCCCAACAGCTTGCACTCTGCGTTCTTAATGCCGGCGGTAATCCAGGCCCACGGCAGCAAAAGCGAAAGCACAAAGCTGCCAGTCAAGAACAGGCGCACGGTGACGCGGCTAAGCTGGCGGTCGAGCGCGAGCGGCCTGATCCTATCCGGGCGGCTGTTGGCTTGCCACGGGGCTGGCTGTAACAGGCTTGCGGCAAGGACGTAAAACAGAGCTGCTGTGACGGCTCCCAACTCGGACACGGGGACGACACGGAGACCCAGTGCGAGCACGGCGCAGCCGGCGACAAAGGTCGCCGCAATGAGCAGCAACAGAACGCGACGAGACAGACTAAACACGTCGCCGTCGTGATCCCCCGCCATTGCTTGCAGTGCGGTTGGTTTTGTGGGGCACGTGGGGCAGGGCCTCGCGTGCAACTGAGTTTCCACCAGAGCAACAGGAAGAACAGTTGTGCGGGGGGGGGGGGGGGGGGGGGGGGGGGAGGGGGGTTGCCGGGAGGTGGTGAGGCGGAGCGGGGAGGGCAAGGCACTATTGATACAGAAAAGATGGCAGGGCACTGATGATGCGGAAGCTACAGGTTTACATTCGGCGCATAATTTTTCGAAGGCTTGAGGGGTGTCCTGAGACCACACGCCTCGGAGGCTGAGAACTGGACCTGTTTGAAGGTACCCTTTGAAGTCAACCTGCAGTGCCCAAAACAAAACCCTTCACCCAGCCGTCCTCTCTCCGAAGTCCTGTTCCATACACATTCCCGATACACGTGTACATGATGTACACGTGTACTATACATCTCGCACGTGTCACTTGTGTCAGAGAGGTCCTCCCTTATTTTTTTCCTCTCCGGCCCGGCGTCCCAAGCTGCACAAGTACGGCGGTCTCTGCAGGGAAACCGCTCTTGTCGCCGCCCGCTCTTTCGCATCTTCTAAGATGAAGTCCTCCGCCTCCTGGGACGCCTGGCGCCGTCTGGGCTCCCCCCGCTACGTCGTCGCTCCCATGGTCGATGCATCCGAACTCGCCTTCCGCGACCTTACCCGCAAGTACGGCGCAGACCTTGCCTACACCCCCATGCTCAACTCGAAGATCTTCGCACGCGACGCAAAGTACCGTCTCGAGCATTTCACCACACACCCCGCTGACCGTCCCCTCGCCGCCCAATTCTGCGCCAACGACCCGGCCCTCCTCGTCGAGGCCGCCCGCCACGTGCAGGACCACGTCGACGCTGTCGACCTCAATCTCGGTTGCCCGCAGGGTATCGCACGGAAGGGGCACTACGGTTCCTTTCTACAGGACGAGTGGAACCTTTTGCACGACATTGTCAGCACAGCTGCACGCGACCTCACCGTCCCTATCTGGTGCAAGATTCGCATCTTTCCCACTGTCGAGAGAACCGTCGAGTACGCCAAAATGTTAGAGTGCGCTGGCGCTAGCTTGCTTGCTGTTCATGGACGGACGCGTGAGCAAAAAGGAAAGGACGCCCCGCCAGCCGACTGGGAGGCCATCAGGGCTGTTAAGCGCGCAGTCAGCATTCCTGTCATTGCCAACGGTAACGTCCGATGCAAAGCTGATGCAGATCATGCTATCCAATCTACCGAGGCCGAAGGCGTCATGTCCGCCTGGGCGCTTCTGGACAACCCCGCCGCGTTTAACAAGGAGGGAGAAACGGCCCCCAGTAGAATGCAACTGGCGATGGAGTACTTGGATTTAGCGGAAAAGTACAACACACCCATGCGCATAGTCCGCCTCCACATTTTTAAGCTTTTTCGAAGTCGCTTGGATGTGAATATGGACTTGAATGAGGAGGTTGCAAAGTGTCGTTGCTTGAACGACTTTCGGCAAATTGCCGACACCCTGGCTGCTCGCACTGATTTTGACGGAGTCTTGTTTGAGACAAGAGTACAGCTGGGGACTGTGCCGGAGAATGTAGTGTCAGAGAAAAAGGCAAAACGATTGAAAAAAGCCCTAGAGGCCAGCGCCTTGGAACAACACAGGCGAAAGCAGAAGGGGGTTTGAAATTTTTATTGAGCTTGGTTATCCGATGCAACTAGACTTGTAACGGACTCGCTGAAGATGCCTTTTTCATCATCTACGTCGTCCAAAATGTCAGTCCCGAGAACGCCAGACACATGCTATCTTCAGTGGGACGGGTTATCCTACTCAGTCAGAGCGCACTGCTCATATACGTAGTGTCTATTGGACGTTGGTCCTCATTTGAGGACACTATTCGACCTATTTTATTTTTGACTTGCGCTTCCTCGACAAGAAAGAAAAAGATACCCCCGCCGCTGCTGACTTGGGGACAGCAAGAATTTTGTAAGAATAGAGGGTTTACGCGAGCACTTTTCGGCAACATACAGTGTGAGTCCACGATTTCGTCATAGTTTTTGCATTTCTTCATTTTGCTTGAAACTTCACGCATAAACTGTGAACATTCATGTTTATTCATGATCGATCCCCCAACACGCGTTGGTGACACGTTGTACACGTGGCCGATTTGTGCGACGTGCAACACCACACGTGTCCAGATCTGCCCGTTGTGCCCGCTGTAGCTCTCCAGTACAGTGTGCCCTCGAGGCTCTTGGGTCAGCATTCCATGCTATCGTCGAGCACTGACAGAAGTTCTGTCGCAGTAACCCGCCACGATTTCGGGGTTACTGTGAAGGCAGAGGACCAAATTGTTGTGCACAGTAACCCTGTGCGTTCGCACAATCGGGATTTGGATTTTCCAATCTAGATCCGTCGTCGTCCCCTACACTGCATCTTACATATAATGACCCTACCGTTCTGGCGCTAGCCGAACGGAGGGGGCCAGAGGAAAACACAACAGAGTAAATCGAGCATCTAGCTCGCTACCTGTTTTTCCTTCAGTTCTTACTTCCCCCCCACTGCCACCTTCTCGCGAGTTTGGGTCTCTCGATCCAGTGCAAGGCTACTTATGACCTCCAGCGACAATCCGGATTTGCTGCTGCGTGAAAGTAGCTATTCTTAAGATGACTCGTGCATCTGTCGAGGCAAGAAACGCCACTCGCGATCGCCTCATCAAGTTAATTGGTCGTTACACTTCAGAAGATGCCGCGACCAAGAACCTGCTCTCTGTTGCCGGGTGGGCCTTAGAAATGAATGAAATCAGCTCGGAAGCACCACCCCAAGAAATCGCCGAAATGATCAAGTCTATGCTACTCCCGACAAGCATGATCTTCACAGACAACTACTTCCGCCAACCCGCGTTCGCTACCCAGATTCTTAAGGACGTGGCAAACCTGTACGAGTGTCTACCCATGTCAGGTGAGATGCTGTCAGCAGTTGATGCACAGTCTCAAACTGACTCCATCGCAATGTCACACGCCTGGCTAGCTTCCATTCTCGTTCCCACCGTGGACATGGTGAAGAATGTGGTTACGCGCCACAAGCGTTCGCAGAGCTTGGATGCACCAAGCCCTTCAGGTTCGCCGCCTAACATTGCACCCTCTATTGCAGTAATACCTCTGGAAACTCCAGGTGCCCCTGCAGTCACTGTTCATCGTGAAACACTTCCAGCTTCTGGCCCCGATGACCACAATAATGAACAAAATGAAACTGGGATTCAAGTTGGTAACGTCCGCCGTCAAGCTAAGAATGCTGCCAATTCCGACCCAGCATCCGCCCCGACAGCCGATCCGACATCTCAAACCCCGGATGAACCTATGCCGTTTCCGGTAGACACAACGAGAAAGGCATCTGCCGTTCAAAATTACTTCAAAACGGGAAGTTTTCTGGTGACCGCGATCAAGAACACTTCAGATGCGCCCCATTCGAAATGTCATCCGTGACTATGACGTATGCGCTATGCAGCAAGCTCTGAGGCCGAAGCAAAAGGCAGAGTATTTCATTAATATCTTTTCTGGTTCAGCGCGCGACTTCTTCTTCGAGAATTGCACAACGTGGATGAACTATAAGGAGCTCGTTCAGGTTATGCTATCGGAATATGACTCCGATGCTCGGCAGCTCGAAGCTCAGTCGGAGCTAGAGATGCTGTCCATCGACAAGATCATGCGAGAAGCAGACGTTACCAGTCTTAATGTAGGACTAGACCGTTTCGTGACCAGGGTCAACAATTTGACACCCCAATGTCCCGAGCCGTTCCGCTCCGAGAAACACAAAGTTAGGTATCTCCGGGCCCCTGTTTTGAACCAGAAATGGGCAGAACCGGCGCTGAGCCAAATTTCCACGGCTAAGTTTACGTACAACCGCTTTGTGACTGCACTACGTGAGCAACTCCAGTTCACACAGGAGCGCTATGGCAAAGAACAAGTGGCTGACAAACCCGCGTTTTACCAGCAATACGGCCGACGTCCCCCACAACCAAAATTCCGCAAGCACAAATTTGGTTCTGGGTACTGTAGCATAACCCCCCCCCCCCCTGGGGGACTCACTTTAGATTAGATCACGATTGATCTAGTTACTGTAGAGCCCGACGCTCTACAGTACCACCGAGCGTGTCCACGTGTGCCCACAGCCCACGTGCACACGTGTACCACGCGCGAACGAAGCGCGCACGCACCACGGGTAATACGTGTACTGTCAGCCTCGCCATAGCTGACAGTATCACAGTGCAGGCCGACCTGCACTACAGTAGCCCACTACAGTACCTCGGTACTGTAGTGTTATGATAGATGGTTTTGTATATTTAATATGGAGCGGACCGACGGCGGACGGGGGCCACAAGCACGGGCTGGTCCTCAACCGACCGCCAAGGTCAGTCCACCCAGCTTATTCTAAACGTCGCCTTCGCTCTTCGCGCGGGTTTAGTCGGAGCCGAGCCGGAGTGGACGCGCAGCACGCGAGCGAGCACGGAACCGCCTCCGCCCGTCAGCACTGGTACGTCACCCAGTGCTGCTCCGGGGCGTCGAGGCGTCGATCCGCTCGTGCGTGCGCGCGTCCCTGCTCGCTCCCGCTCTACCACCGCTACCCGGGCCCGAGCCCGGTTCCGTAGCTGGTTGGCCCGCTTCACCCCTTCTCCGATCCGGGGTCTACAGGTCGAACTGCGCATACACCTCCAGTCTTCTGGGGGTGTTTATGCTACAGGTACCCGCCGAACAAGAGCAGCCTCCGGAAGAACCCATTGGACCGGAATGGAAACCGTATGCTGTGTCATGAGTGCGGTTCTGAGGATCACCTCGCCCGTTTCCACAAGACAAGTGGCGTCACGGAGTATGTACGTGACCAACTCCGCAAGGGAACTTCCGCCGTACACGTAATCCACGACCTTGTCACGAAGACGGAGGACATGTACCTCGAACCGGACGGAACCTGTGGAGACTCTGGTTCCGCCTTGCAAGAACTGGTCACGACGCATGTCGCGGAAGCAAGATCATCTCCCACTGATGAACAATTGGAGTTTGAAAGGTTGACATCAGAGGCAGCCGAACAGGCCGGAGCTTTTGAAGAAATTGATCAGACTAATGCTTGTAGCATAACCCCCCCTGGGGGACTCTCTTTAGATTAGATCACGATTGACTTAGTTACTGTAGAGCCCGACGCTCTACAGTACCACCGAACGTGTCCACGTGTGCCCCACATCACACGTGCATACGTGTACCCGGCGCGTACGAAGCGCACACACACGGGTACCACGTGTACTGTCAGCACCGATGCTGACACCGTACAGTGCAGGCCGACCTGCACTACAGTAGACCACTACAGTACCTCGGTACTGTAGTGTTATTATAGAGGTTTGTATACTAAATATGAGCGGACCGACGGCGGAGGGGAGAGGACAAGCACGAGCTTGTCCAGAACCTACGCCTTTGGTCAACCTCACCCCGCTTATTCTAGAACGGGTCCCCACTAGCCCGTATCTAGTTAGAAACCGAGCGGGCAGGGGACGCGCAAGCACGCCAGCGAGCCTAGATCCGCCTCCGCCCGTCAGCGCTGGTACGTCACCCAGCGCTGCGCCGGGGCGTCGAGGCGTAGATCGGCCCGCGCGTGCGCGCGTCCTCGACCGTACCCGCTCTACCACTGCTACCCCGGGCTCGCCCGGTTCCGTTAGCTGGGGTTGCTTCCCGTCTTCCCGCCGATCGGGGTCTCCGCAAGAACTGAGTATACACCCTCCTCCGTTGGGGGTGTTTATACTAAAGTGGTCTCCCGACCTAGAAGACTCTAAGATCGTTCCAAGAAGACGGCCGATTTCCTCCGCGTCCGTATGCGTCGAGATGAGCGAAGGGTCCGAACCCTCGGTCCACTCCGCACCGACCGATATGCTGGCGTCCGTGCTACGCGTCCGATCCGACGACGGCGCCGCAGGTCCTCGGGATCGCGAACCGTCGCCGGACTACTCAGAAGGACGCGCTCGCGCGATGTACGAACGCATCGCGGAGTATATCGAGGATGTCCGGACATCCCTTCGTGTCGACGTGACCAACCAGGTCTCTGCCCGCTGTCCTGACGAGTCGCGCTCCCTCCACGAAGGAAAGTTTGAGCGCGTGACTCAGTCCTGGGAGAGCCTGCGCGCGCTCGCCGACCAGTTGCACTCCGTCTAGTGTTGGTCGAGGACGCGCGCATCGAGGCCCCTACGGCGGACGTTGCAGGTCGACCCGCGAGTACGAACTCCGGGGTACGAGAGGACACGCAGCCTTCCCCATCTGCCGAACAGATGGGAGCGTTCGCGCATACGGCTGCGGAACTCAACTCGACGCGCCGGCGCGCTCGTGAGTTAGAACAGGACTCGGCCGTAAGGTCGCCCCGAGCCCCCCCGAGAGGGCCCGGTGCCACTGTTCCTCCGGACGCGTCCGATGCGCAGGAGTGGCCTCCGACTGGTGCCGTCACCAATCGGAGCGCGGAGGATATCAAACCAACGGCGGACGCAAACTTCGCGTCCGAGACTCAAGCTCTGCCGCATGCCCCCGGAAGCATGCGGCAGTTGCGACAGGTACCGTACGGGCACGACCAGGACCGTGGAGGAGCCGCTCGCGGATCCGGAGAACTCATGTTCTCCGTCGATCCTCGCTGGGGCGGCTACCCCCCGGTGGATTACA